GCTGACACAGAAGAAAGGGCCATGAGCCCATGCTGGAGGACATAGCATCCCTTTTTACCTCCTCTTCATGGAGCTTCTAGGAGACAATGGCATTGAAGAGAGGTTTCAAGGGAACAAATCCTTACAGCTACATGGAATAAGGCCACTGAAAGAGAGAGTTGTGAAAGGGAAATGCTTCAGGTGCCCAGGCTGCTTCAGCCATCAACAAGCACCCTCCAAGATGGGGCATGCCCAAGAATTACTTGAACAGGGACACCTCCTCTAGGAAAGGAAACCCGACTAACCAGGGCCAGAGTCCAATACTGCTGTTTGGACACAGCAAGAAGAGAGAGGACAGTGCCCACAAGTCACCAGAACCATGCTCTCTGGGGCAGCCACAAAGAAAAGGCAACAGTCTTCTGTTGTGCAGGTATGTCTTGCTCCAACGAAAGATATTCCTCATTTAGGAGACTCCTAGCTAAGGCATATTGGGTTGGTGAGGCAGACTGAAGCAGCTGTTTTTAGAATTTTTAAAAGTCGTGGAGCATGGTGAACTATGCTTAAAGAAATCCCATGTTGGTTTTTTTGACTGTATTGTCCTTGCTACCATTCATGTGCTTCTATAACAAAACTGGGGTCAGAAAGTTTTCAAGTTATACTACACTGGTTTCTGGAAAAAAAAGTGTTTTTGTAGAACGGACAGTTTTGATTGTTTAGCCCATAGAAGATTTTAGTTCAGTCATATTCGCTTATAGCCACATTTGAGCATTTCATATTCACTCCTGTTCACAGTGCTCAACACTGTTCCTTGTTCTTATTACTGGTTCTAAAAAAACGCTATCTCAACGAATAACTGGTTGATGGTTATTAACAGCACCCTGCAAGCAACAAAAGTAGTGAATCCATGAGCCATATCTCAAAAGGCCATTAAGTACTACCCGGCAAAGAGTACCTTAAATACAATTCAGAACTGCATCATAGTAAGTGCTGTTTTTTGGGATGGTGTGAAGGGGAGGTGTGCAATCAGATTTACTGTCACATAACTATTTTGCACCTGTGAGAGAACAGGTGTTACCATTGCTGTACAGAGGTTTGAATGCAATTTGGAGCCCCAATGCTTAAAAATACTGTTACAAATTGTTGCTGAAAGCCAGATTGGGAAACCTTTTATCTCTCAAAAAGGATCAAAAAAAAGCTGAAGGAAACATCAGGTTGCCAAGAAATAACACATGATAGATGGAGAGATGTTGGTCACAAAGGGAATTACAACTGCTGCTATATTAAAAAAGGGGTGTCCAGCTCCTGCCTCATCTTTGTTTCTTCATGTTAATCCTGGGGCTTGTACATTCCCTTTGTTGCAATACTGACAATATAATCTCTTGTAGTCTTGCTTAGTTAAGATTTGCATGGGCCATAATCTCCATTAATGACACTGAAACTATCTGACCTGCACCTCCACTTTCTCCTTCCTCAGGTGACTTCCATCCTGCACTCTCTCTTAGTCTGCAGACTTGCTTATTGATTTCAGAAATAATATAGGTAGTACCTCTCACTTTTATCCAGGAGTAAACAAAACCAGCATCCGCACTCTATCCTTCCCCTGCCCCTTACGTGTGCATGTAAATTTCTCTAAAGTCTTCTACGTGAACAGCCAAGGGAGCAAATGCTGCCTCTCTCTCCCCTTTCCAGAGCTGATAGCAATGACAAAAGGTATAAATTCCCAACTTTCAGGGAAAGTTTAAGGAGCAAATAACAAAATGCAGTGTCACTATAGGAAACACATACAAAAGACTTTCCCAAAGGAAATACTTTGATAAGAAGTAATCACACATGTCATTTTTGTGTCCACAGTCAAGAGTCAGCAGTCAGGGAAATCCTCAGATACTAATGGAGGTGCAGTTCATGTGTGGTCCTTCTCCCAGTGTGCTACACCACTAGTTAATGTAGATGCACCTACTGAGACCAGCCTAAATCCCAGTGGGAACCACTGTCACAGGCATGATAAAATGAACTGAATAGTAGCATGAACAGCTCTTAAAACAAAGATGACATGCAAACTGGCATACATCAAACTCACACTCATTATCTGATGTCTAATACAACACATGTATTTCTGACAGACTGGATTCCCTTTAGAAACAAACTGGTTTGGTCAGATTATTTTGAGAGTACTGTGAATTCTCCTTACTTAGCCCAGAGACGAATTCACGGAAGTTGATGAGCAAGTCTCCATTTTCATCAAGAAGCCTGAATAAGCGCGCAGCTAATACATCTGAATGAGTTCCACAGGCCCAAGGAAAAAGCAGAGCAAACATCCCCTTGAATTGCTCAAAGTCAATACGGTACTGCTCCAGATAAGGAAGGCTGGGATCATGCCGGTCAACAGCATTGCTGTTTCCTCCCCAGTAGCAGCTGGTCAGATGTTCTGCCTGAACAGAAGGCAAATGGTGTGAGATTGCTGTCATCACTGTAAACAACTCGTCACTATCAATGATGAAAAAAAATCCAAATAACTCATACATACACACACAGGCTTTCTTAGAACAACACAGGACTATTTCTATCTACCTAGCCCTTGCATTTCTGCAGGAGGTTTTGCCTCTAAACAGCTCAAAACCACAACCTTCTACAAAAAAAAGAGCATAAAGCAAAATTTTTTCTGCCTCTCAGGCAGATGAAACGTGAAATACCTGTTTTGAACAGAGCACTATGCAGTTGTGACTTGCATATGTACACAGGCTTGTTGTGCTTAGTAACACCCTTCAACCTCACCATGCCATCAAGTCAGAAAGAGGGCTTTCTTGAAATCTTAATTTCAGAGCATATGAAAATAGCTGTTTATTTGAAAATTTTTTTGTTGGACTGTAGAGTCTCAAAACTACTGTATAAAGTCCTACTTTTTGAGTCTTACTGAAGTCAGTGAAAGTTCTGGAGCTGATTTCAGTAGAATTTAATACAAAACAATTCAGAAGCTTAGAGAAAGAGATCCTAGCACAGCACAGTGATCAAATAGAGCTGACTGTCTGACTTGGTCTCACTGCTTCCATGGAAGACTGAAAGAATGCACTGCAGGATTTGGACAACTAAGACCTGACATTACAGATGGGAAATTCAAAGGAAAGAAATTCTTCATAGTGTACCAAAAAATCTCTGTTTTAACAAAACAGAGGAAGAAGGTATTTTGTTTTAAGGCACTGTGTATGGAGGTGAAGCTAAACTATTTTAACTGTTCACATTTAAATTTGTGGATCTAATAGGATTGCTGTACAAGCAGCTTACAAAGACATCACTTCGTGACACTAAATTTCCATGTAATATAGGATGCATTAAAGCATTAACAATAGCAAAACCCAGCTATTGTGATATGGAAGTATTAACTGCATGAAATAATAGAATAAAGGTATTTCTGTGCTAAATTCCAAAATTTAGGTCAGGTAGTGAGAAACATACATAAGTTTTGAAGACTCATCAAAGTCTCTATATAGTCACTTTTTCGTTATAATAGTTTTCATCAGTATATTCATTTTTCGTATGGACAAGTGATTTGGTGAATTACTTAATTCCTGAGCTTTTAAAAACTGGTTGGATTTTTTCTTTGTATTTTCAATAATATAGCAACTAATTCAAGTTTGTATTAAGATCATAGAATCATAGAATGGTTTGTGTTGGAAGGAACCTTTACAGGTCATCTAGTCCAACCCCCAACAGTATATCTGACAGTAAGTAACTCAGACGTAATCTGGTCTTTATAAGACAAACAGTCCCATATCATATATAAATGTTTGCATTTCCTGCAGGCACATTAATTATCTTATCTTCACTAGGCTTTACCTTGAAAAGAGCATACAGTTCCTCCAGCTCATCGATAGAGAAAGAAGTCTCTGTCACAATAGTTCGTACCTTTTGAAACATAACATGAACAGTTACATTTTTGAAATCCATGTCTCAGTGAAAAGCTAATTTAATTTAAGAAACTGACTGACCTTAATCTTTGCCAAGAACATTATTTCAGTACTTACCACATTGCGCTTTGTAGTATCTTCAAGGGTTTGGATGACTTTCAGCCTTTGTTTGAATCTCATTTGTTCAATTAAATCTGCTCGGATACTTCCAAATTTCTTAAAAGATAAAAAGGAGGACACAATAGCCTGTGCATTAATATTTGGAATACATAGCTTCCTTTTAAAGTGATTAAGAAATTGATTTAGTTACATGATATACCACAAATGGTGTATTTAAAGAACTGCTATTAAGGCATTAAGGCATTTCTCTAACACATGACAAAGTTATGAATACCTTACGAATATATCACTAGATACTGTTTTTCCCAATAACTTATCTTCATTTAATTTGAAAGGTCCTTATTAAGTTACAAATCCTCACATTTTAACCCATAACCTCAGTAGTTATAGATTTATTCCTTGGCAAATCTCTATGACTAGATTATTTCACAACTCCTTCTGCAGCATTTTATTTCAGCTTGTCCTGGAATATCTCTTAATTGCAACAGATAGAGAAGATATTTAGATCAACTGGATCTCCAAGAGCTGAGACAGTATAGCAGGCCATATGTTCATGAGGATCTGAAACTGAGCATCAAGAATGCACCTTCCATCAGGAAGAAGATTCTCTACAGTGTCTAAGTCTTATTTTCAGAAGATTTTTTTCACAATGCACATAACTCTCAGGAAGCTCCTGCATATACTACAGAAGCATCCTAGGGGAAAACCTATTAGGAACAATATTCCCTGTTTTCATATGCAGAGGAAGGTCTAATTCCTAAGATTTCTTTCTGTGACGTATAGAAGAAGTTTTTTGACATCCAGAAAACACTTGTAACATATTTAGAAATGCACAGATGACCAGCAGGAACAATGATGCCAGATATCAAGTATGCCACATGTAAAAATAAAGGGGGTGGCAAGATATGCTTTCATACAGGATGGATTTATATTTCCTGTGCAAGTGTAACTATATAAGCAGGTCATAATTTGCTAGCACATCTTTGTGTGATCAAATTAACACTAAAACTGTGATACTACTTGCACCTTTATCACTTATCTTGGTAGTAAAAATATGTTTCATATACTTGGAATATTTTGCAAATAAAGAAGTATTTGAGAAAATTGAATCTAAATAAACATCCATGAATATCAAGCATCACAGAGGTCACAAAACCTTGAAAAGAGAGGTTTTCTGTGTCTCTGAGGCCACATCTATTCCAGTAATCAGGGCTTATTCTCTGGACTGAAGGCCAAATAAGATGGTTTGTACACACTCATACAATTAAAACTCATGTAGCCTGCAGAAAAGGAAGGCTGCACGTAATTACCTTCTGGGAATGGTCCCTTGCCCATGTTAACTTTCAAATCATACAAGCATACAAAGTTCCACTGATGATAGAAAGGTCTTCTGAAATCATATAGATTTTACTAACATTTCAGTTAGGAAAAGCACGAAAAAGCTTAGATAAGAATTAACCTTTTTTGAATTACAAGTTCAGCCTTTTGTTTGTAAATCACTTTTTGGTTGTGGGTTGTTCTCCTTTGATGCAAAACAGCTCCAATTAAAAGTTCTGGTTAAAGGAAAAAGAAGGACTAACCCTCTCCCCTGCAACATTTCAGACTTCTGAGACAAGTCTATATTTCTTTTATGTTCTTTCAGTTTCAAGCAAAGTCAAACTACAGAGTATCAAATTCCTCTGTAAAGCAAAGCTAGCGTGGGTTGGCAAGTTCCTGTTAAGAAATCCTATCCTACCTCATAGGAAGACCTAATCAGTCTGAAGATATCCACCTCAGGATAAGGCTCTACATCATCACTGAGCAGTGAGTGAAGATGAGGAATGGGTGGAAGAGTGCTGTCCTTATTAGTAATGCTGTCCAAATATCTGGTGGGAAGAAAAAAAAAAAGATACGAGAAATCCAAGATTCATTTGTACTCCCCTCTCTTCTGAGGGTTAATAGAATAAGGGTTACATACAGATTATTACATGTAAAAATGATCAAGCCACTCTCTAAAAATGAATTACATGATTTTTGACATCAGTAATTTGCCAAATCCAAACACTGCTTTTTCCTCAAGGAGAGCTAAGGTAACTTCGGTAATTTAATTATTTTTATCAAGAAACAGCTCAAATATAGCTAGTCATGTACAAGTGGCTTACTGAACAGGTTTGTTACTTCTGGCTGCTTGAACATGCTAAGGGAACTATGACACCATGGTCAGTGTGCTTCGGTCTACAATACCCCCCTGTCCTACTACTGCCCAACTTCACTGCAAGAGGCTTTAAAGTCTTCTTCCTCCCACCAGTGCAGCTGCTGTAGGTTCTCTGTCTTCTACCCTGCAGCTGCAGAACACTTAAATCATCAGCAAGCACTGAGGCTTACTTCAGAGAAAACACAACCACAGCCATCTTTAATCCCAGAGAAATTAAAAACAGACTTACTAAAAAAATACCAAAGATTCAGCAGCATCTGGAAAACTAAACACTACTACCACACATGAGGAAATCAGAGGTTGCACACAGCAGTATTAGTTTGTATTAAATTACCAAATTCAGTCTATTTACTAGCCTCCTTTTTCACCAAAATTTATTAATTCAGGAGTCTACCTAATTCTTCTCTTTAGTCCATTCCCAAAACAACTTCTCTTGAGATCAAGGCTTTTTCTTAGTAGCATTTAAAACATAACAGGCAAAAGCTAAAGTAACAAAAACCATGTAATCAGCTAAAATAATAAACCAAAGTAAGTTTCTATAACCAGGTTTGGGAAGTTTATTGGAATGTCTTGAAAGAAGACTTTATATCTTGTTGGTCATTTAACAATACTTTAAGATAATATAAAGAGAGTACCTTACATGGGTGAAAAGGGACTATAAGCGTATAAAAGACTTACATATATTGTACTGGTTTAAATTGAGTATTTCAGCATAGCAAAACACAAATCAGGAAAGGAAGCAAAAAGAAAAATAAAACGAAGAGGCTTTATTTTCTGTAATAAATACCTTCCCAAGACTGTCATGGCTTCTCCATCATCTTTACAGTTAAGCAGCTTGTCTACATTAGCATCGAGGACAGCGAGCGCTAATTGAAATATCACCTTTATTCCTTCACAGAAGAAACAATCCACAACCACCACTGCACTCTCAAATGGCATTACACTGAGGAAAAGAGTGAGGAACCAGGACAGAGAAATGGTGGATATTACACCCAAGTCCTGCATGCAGTCATAAAGCTGTGGAACATAGTCGCGAGCCAACTCTTCAAACACACCCTGATCCACCAATGCTCCTGTTGAAAATAAGTAAGGTTGGATGTCCATCAGTCTGGGAGCAACTGAACACCACATCATCATTTAAGGCAGAAAACTATACATACATATATTCTATATATAAAAATACAAAACCTAAGAATATTCTACATGATTCTTACACACATTTTCTCACTTTCAGATAAATAACAGATTCTATTCCACTACTGAGCTGTAGTGTACAAAATTAACTGTAATAAGGGTTTTTTTGTTTTAATTATACACTTCATAAGAGCTAACAAAGGACAAATTTGGTCTAGCACCTACAGAAGTTACACAATGGCTTAATACTTACCATTACTAACAGAATAATACTTCTCAGCATCACCTACTTGAGGAGGCCAAGGTGACTATGAGGGTTTAGGATTTATTTTAAGAGAACCCTTGTGTTATACATACCTTTGCCACAACATCAGCGTCAGTCATAATTCAGGAAGAATAATTTCTAAGGCTGAATGAGTATCTCAGGCATTTGTGAGCTACAGTAAAGACAGCTGCCATGATAAACTGAAGAGCCATTCACTTCCACATACACAAGGAAACTGTCAGCTGACAACAATAGCTTTCAGATACTGTTGCTCTTGAAAAAGCCAGAAGTGAACAGGCACAAAGGCTTCTACTACAAATTGCCAAAGCTCCTGTTTCCACCTTACCTTAATTAGGCAACTGGCTCATCTAAAATTCAAACTTTAGCCTCCTCTTTTGTATGTACCTTGTTTAAGCCCACTTCAGAATACCATCTAACCCAAGGTAAGTGAAAACTATTAACTATCACAGTATCTGTTTAGGGAATTGCTTCTACGCTCCCGAGCATGCAGTCTTGCTACAAGCATTCACAACTGTATCTATGCCACACACACATCTACACATATGCTTGTTTCAATACAAGTAATACCAATTTATTTGGTTACTACTTTTACTATAATTTTAGAAAATTTCCCCATAACATACCAACAACTCTTGTGTTGTAGTAGTCAGGCAGCATACGTTCACACAGAGCCACCAGCAACCAGAAAGCTTCCTCTTCTTTTGCATAAAGGAGGAGTACTGAAGTGACAATATTCATAGCCTAAAAGGAAATAAGTATTTATTCAATATATAGCACAGTAACTGGGCAGATAAGTGGTTACTATAGCTAGTAAATTAGCTAGTAAATCTCCCCTTGTAGAATCCAAACTGCTCAAGTATTTTCTTGTAGATACAACACACAGTGTTTTCCAAGTGCTCGAAGGAAGGCTGAAGAAAGACTCAAATAAATCACAAAAATTACTGGGAGTTTTTTTGAGGGGGATTTTGTGTTGGCTTTTTCTTTTTTTAAGAAAAAAAGCTAAAATCAAGATTTCTTTTCATAATCAAGGGCCTACTCTGGTCTGCAAGCATCCAGTTTCATTGCTGCTGACATTCTGCCAATAGGTCCTCTTGGGGAACCTGTGTCTGATACAGACAAAATGCCTCCTACAGCACTGATGATGGCCACTGCTGTGTCACCCTTCGCAGAGGCAGTCTGCACTCTTCATGGTTTCTGCTCCTATGAAAGTGTCAAGAGACAACATCTGCGAGCTGAGGAAACTGTCTGGAACAGTGTCAGTCATGAAAAAACAAGAGTACAGTGAAACAAATCTCTCACTGTTGCTCACTTTCCACGTTTGACTCTGCAAACAGTTTTTTATGGCCTGTTTCATGCCATTTCAAATATCACAGCAACATACAATCTCTGAATTGTATGCTTACAGCCTTTGACTAGACCTCTGTTAGTCTGAAGAAATGAAGTTCTTCTCAAGTTTGCCTCCTGAGGAATTAGCTGTTCATTTCAGAACCTGTAACATTTTAAGACTCCAGCTTGATCATTACCTGTTTGAAACAGGAACTATGCTTTCAACTGAAACTCAGAACAGCATTACAACTCTGTCAAAGTCTATGCTATTCCCTTTTATCTTGTCTACCATGTATGAAATACTTCAGTGCCTGAATTCCCAGTGTAACTGTGAATCAGCATTCTAAATGCCACAGACCAAATCTCAAGGCTATTAACAATTACTGTGAAAGCTTTAGGAATCAGAAACACAGTGCCTTTCCACTCTTCCTCTGTTAAACAATCTTTACAGAAAGTTATTGTAGCTATTACTTAGTATTATATCTGTTATTAAATAATTTATGTTGGTATCTGCTAAAATTCTTTGCACTTTCACTTACTCATGTTTTATCTAGGAGTCTTAACAGTCAGACATTAATCAGACTTCTTAATACTCATTCATTCAGGCTCCCTTTTTGCAAGAAGAGGCAGGAAGGCAAAAAAGGGGCCCAAGTAATAAGTAAAAGTTACATAGCAATAAAGAGTTATTTGGGACCAGATACTGAAGTGACCTGAATCACAAGCATAAGAACATCAAAACCATGCACTGGTCAGCATTAACCCTACCAGTACATGGTGATCATGCACAGTGATAAGATATCTTTCTAGGGTGCTTTATTGTTTCCTTGGTTTTAGTTTTGCTTTGAATGACTGAATGACATAATTGAAAAAAGTAAAGGAGGTTCTAGAGGTTTATTATGACTAATGTATTGAATAAGTAGGTGAAAATTCAAGGCTGAATAACTAAAGGTGAAGGTTTTTTTCTGCTTAAAAGAACCCATCTTCAGCATCCATTTGTCATTTGCTATAGATGCACTTCAGGACAGCTCTGTATTCATCCTCTGGCCAGTCTCTAGATTTATAGGCAGAAAATATGCTTACAGAAAACTATGCACATCCATTGCTAATACTCATGTTAAAGCAGGTCCTTATGTCAAATCTCTCTGATCTCAGCATTACTGCAATTATGCAGCACTGAGGCTTTACCTCACAGCATTATATGCATATCAGTATACTTTACATGGCCAAATACTCAAGTGTACATGACTGAAGAAATGGGAATATAAGGAAGGAACTGGAATTCCAGAAATTGAAAGAGTGCCAAGGTATTTCAATTACCTGACAGTATCCTATGTTTGGATTTCTAAAAGCATAAGCTGTCAAGACTCTCCTTAGAGCAGCAATACCCATCTCGTTCTGGAACGCGGGGTGTTCTGGAAGGGAGCGGTGCAGATCCCTCTCTATCTCTTCTGTAGCGAGGTTATATTTCCCCATCGATTTCTCCACTAGGTCCTCATAATAGCCAGGATGAGTGGCCATTTCATTAATTGCCCCTGGGAGTGGAAGAACAGTTATTAAAACTAGAATTAAAAAAGCAAGGGTTAGCAGAGACAGTACGCCAACACAATGATCTTCTGCTATCCTTTCATCTTGAATGACAACAACAAGCACTTTGAAAGCAAATATGAAATGTTACTTTTGTAAAGGTGATTAAAAAAAGAAGGATTGATGCTTAGGTGATTGAGGTATCACCCCTTCTTGTCTTCTCCGGAGGTATGAAGAACAAGCTAGCTGTGCAGTCACACGCTACCATGAGCTCTCTTTGCAGTTTGATGTGGGTTTGATTATCTAAAGTAACTCCAAACATGCCCCTGAGAAAGCTACTTGCCCTGAGGAGGGAGTAGATTATGGTTGGTTGCAGAAAGTATGATATCTCAGCTAAAAGAAAGAGAAAGGAATTTCTAAGCTCTATTCCTGCTTCCAAAAAGGACTGTCACCTTTGGCAGGACACTCAGCTGGTCTTAAAGATACTATCGTATACTCACAGAGTTGTTATGAGATTTCACTGCTGACTTCAGAAGTTCTCTGGAAATTAAAATCTCAGCACCAAAGGAAACCGAGCGTCAGTAGCACAAAGTAACACACATAGAAAATACTAATTATACATACAGTATGAAAATTGGCCCAAACTACCTATTAATTAGACATAGGATAGACCTGTGCATTCCTGTGTATATTTTCTGGAAACATTTGTTTAACACCCAGCAACAAAGAGATTACATAAAAATTAAGCATTATTAGGGAAGAAACAGAAAACAAACCAGAAAGCATCATTAGGTCATCAGATAGAGTCCCTGGTGTGCTCATATCCTAAATGGTGTAAGTAGCTGTGGTTAACTATGTCAGGGACGGACAGAGCTAGAGAAGGCATACAGTAAGCAAAAAGTTATGAAGAAAGGCTGAGATATGGACTGATTTCCATGTCACTAGTAATAAAATGAATAAAATCATTCAGCTTTGGAAGAAGGCCTAGGGGGTCACAGATCTAAAGAATCTTTGATGGCACAGAAGATAGACAGAAATATTTTCTCACCTTTTTCACAGACTGGAAGTGGCTAACAACATAAAGTAACTTTTTTTTTAATTTTTGGGAAAAAAAAGATAGTCGTTCCATACAACATGTTTAAACTTTAGAATTCCTTGCAAAAACTTGCTGTGGAGGCCAAAAGCTTAATTGGATTCAGAAATTATTAAACAAATGGAAAGTAGGCCTGCTGGTGGTTGTTGAACATCTAAAAGTCCCTAGACTGCTGGCTTCTGGTAACAGAGTGTGTATTCTGCTTTTTTGTATTGTTCCCTAATTATTTGAGCCTATTTGAGAAAGTGTATTTATTGATCTAAACAGAACTTTTGTCTAAACCAGTGTGGTGCCTGCTAACAATCACAGCCTTACTTGCTCCAAATATTTCTGGATGCTTATTTTTTGCATGTTTAAATATCTTTGAAATCCTTTCTTCCCTCATGCTTTTGCTTATATCCCAGTCACATTCAAATGAATACTTACCTGAAAATAGTAGCCAAAGTTCCCCTCTCATGCTTTCTGGAATGCCCTTCAGCACAAGGTCTCTGGTTTTCTCAGTACGATACATACAAACTCCTTGGCCATATTCAGCAAAGTGAATCTTCCAGGCCTGTTCCTTCAAAAACTCTTTAGCCTAAAAGCAAAGAAAAGCAAGCATAAAGATGCAACTTCTCTTGCTTACACTCTGCCTCACTGAATGGGCTTCTTATTGGGCTGCCTCCTCCCATTTCTTAGTTTCTATTTCAATACACCTTGCTGTTAAAAAAATATCATTGAAGTAGTTGCACTTAAGAGCAGGCATAAAATCTCTCCTTGATTTATATTCAATTTTGCTTTTTAATGTAGTGAAGTTGTTTGTATCAGTACAACGACAGCACATTCAACGCTTCATTTCTGTGAAAAATATTGCCTCTTAGCTCTCTATGGCAGAATGAAACTCTTATGGGCCAGAAACAGGTATTCTAAAGGAAATAAAATTTAACAACATTTTCAGTCAGCTACAGCACTCTGACATGTATTTTACCAGCTTGGGGTTGAATTCCTCAGGTGACCTCCGCCGATACATGGTCATTAAAGCTTGAGTTGCTGTTGGAATGCCGTTGTCATTGAGATTGAACTGTCGCTCTCCCTCCGACTCAGAGCTGAGGCTTTTATGAGGGCTGGCAGAAATTATACTGCTTGATCTTGTAAACACCTGTATAAAACAGTCACAAGCAATACTGACATGGGCTGAGCCAGAGTCTGGACTTTTTACGTCATTTTACTTCAAAATTTATACATGCTAACATTTAATACAAACTGAGTGAATTAAGCCACCCAGATACATTCACAGAGTGAGCATATGACAGCAGAACCTAAACCAGTATAGAATATGAAAAGGTTTCCAGTTTTTCTATAGCTCGCCTGCCCAAGAAAAGTAATCAAATCCTACAATTAGAAGTGCTAAGATAGTGTTAACTTTAAGTAGCCCCAGGCAATTAAACCAGCTCCCTTGGTCTCCTGTCATCATCATAGGACTGCTGGCTCCCCAGGTGGCTCCTTGACTGTCTAGAATGTAAAATTTATATATAATATATCACAGAATCACAGAATCTTAGGAGTTGGAAGGGACCTCAAAAGATCATCCAGTCCAACCCCCCTGCCAGAGCAGGATCACCTAGACTAGGTTACCCAGGAACACATCCCGGAGGGCATTCAATGTCTCCAGAGGAGCCTCCACAACCTCTCTGGGCAGCCTGGTCCAGTGCTCTGTCACCCTTACAGTAAAAAAGTTTTTCCTCATGTTCAGATTGAACCTCCTATGTTCCAGCTTGCACCCATTGCCCCTTGTCCTGTCATTGGCTGTCACTGAGAAGAGCCTGGCTCCTTCCTCCTGACACTCGCCCTTTACAAATTTATAAACATGAATGAGGTCACCCCTCAGTCTCCTCTTCTCCAAGCTAAAGAGACCCAGCTTCCTCAGCCGCTCCTCATAAGGGAGATGCTCCACCCCCTCAATCATCTTTGTGGCTCTGCACTGCACCCTTTCAAGCAATTCATATATGTTTATATAGACATACACAAAAGAAACCATTTTGTTTCCCTCACTAAAAATAAATGTTCTACAGAAAATTCAATGCTGTCAGATTCGTATTTGGAAGAAAAAGCAGTCATATTACTAAATGTAGTAATAATTCTTGCCGTTATTAATTTGCTTTCATAATTCAGTAGGTAGACTAGTAAATTCATTTAGAACAAAATGTAAGACAAAGTTTTAGCATTATATATATATGCATACGTGCTTTGGTATACAACTAGTACAAGACACTGATCATATCTCAACCATCATCAAAGCAAGTAAAAAACTGACTTTTAAGATTTACATGGCAAAGGGTAGGCCCATGCAGTACAACACCTCTAAAGTATGGCTTAGTACAGACACAGTACTGCTAAACTTTGCTGGCTTTTACAGATGAGATGAGGCTGTAGTATCACCCATTTAAATCATATATAAAAAACCTAGGAATTCAGCAGAAGTCTTGATATTCAAAATGGCTGAGAAAAGTTTATCTAATCCTGTGTTTTAAGAACCATTTACTCTGCATAGGTAAATAAGGAGGCAGCTCAGAACAGGACCATCTGATGTCTAGGATTTTTTGGTTTTGTTAATTCAAATGTTTCAAAGTTCAGTAGCAGTGCACATGCAAACTTGCTCAGCTCAGACATCCTTTTCTGAAGAATCAGATTTAGCAGTTAAAGTCTTGAATAAAAAGAGTTTCATGTTAACTGATAATTTCTTCAAATAAATAAAACTTCACGACTGTATTTTGATTTGGACAAGCTGATAGATACTAAACAGTATTATTAAATTACCCAGTTAATTATGACAGTTTCCAACAAGATACACTGTAATTTCAGAATGTGGCAGCAGAAGATAGAGTAGCTCTTCCACAGTAGCGATGATTTCACTTAGGTCTAACATAAGAAAAATAGATATACTAATCACAACATTTGAACTACTCAGCTTAAGGAAGCTAGAGGCATTAACACAAAAGAGGTAACATTTCTGTGTGCAAAGGTTTAGCTTTATGAAATACTAAAAGCTTTTGCTGGCTTCTCTCTCTCTCCACAAGTAAAAATCCCCTTCTTTGAGTAAATGATTCACATTCCTCCACATACCTCATCATCTGAGCTGATAGAGCTTCCAGAAATATTTTTTTCCAAGTATATTTTTGAAGTGGTTTGTTGCAGAAAGTCCGAGATCCTCTGTACAAGAAAGTCTCTGTCTTTCAAGTTGGCAAAGAGGAATGTCATTCTGTTTTTCGTGCTGATTGATAACGGGCTGGGCAGCACACTGGAGCTGTCTGCCTTTTCCACTATTGTCACCTACAGAGAAGCAGTAGCTACAGCTTAAGATCGTCAATTAATCGAATTCCTTGGTCTAAGACGCCATCCTAGTACAAAAAAACCATGCCCCTTCCTTCCTTATAGTGAATTATCATCGACATCTCTCTGCTGGAAAACAGGATTTGGATACAAGGACTCACAAGTTTGATAGATGGAGACTGTCATCCCTCAAACAACTGGCTTCAGTACCTTCCTCAGTAAATTCTCCAGCAAAACTCCTTGGCACTGCTCTGTTTATTTTCCTCTGGCTTTATTTGAAGCTAAACAGTACAACAACATTTCTTCTATGGGACACAGATCTACAGGCTTTTTGTAGGACCTCCAAGTCCCTCTTCTGCTTCCCAACACCAGTAACAGACTGAATCATCAGAGGCTTTGGCTTATTTTTATTGCCATTATATCTGAATAAGCCACTTTTTGGTTAGCATTCCTGTTCTACTATATTATAGTTTCATACTGTGGTAACAACTGTCACTGCAATTGTATTTTCAAGGTACGCTTTCAAGAAAACTGCAACAAAGGGAAACTAATCTCATGTCTCTCCTTACATCTAACCCTGACGTAAGGATGCAGAAAACCCTAACCCTGAGACTGGTCTTCAACTGTTAGTGAAATCGTCACTGATATAACTGAACTGCAACCTGTAAACAGTACTCACACCAGTCTGCTGAGTATAGGGCATGAATTTCCTGGGCTATCACAAAGAATAGTCAGGGATGTGTCATACACTGAGGATGAATTATAGAACAGCTGTGTGTACTAAGCATTATTGTTTATTAGTCTTAAATACAAATAAACCAATCAAGTTTGTGCAGTTCATACACTGAAAAAAACACAAAGCATCATTGTAAGCACTTTTAACCATGGCTTTTATGACTTTAAACAATTTCCTAGGTTATGAAAACTGTCTTACTGCCTGCAGAATAGAAGAGGGTACATTTCAGTTTACCAGGACATTTACTTTTGCTTTTTTTTTAAAGTTTGTTGTTTGTTTTTTTTTAAATAGAGCTCAATGTTAAGACATTAGTGCAATAATACTAATATTTCTCTAGCTAAAACGGTAAGATAACTGTTTTTCAAACAACATTTTATTTGAAGATATATTTAAAATCTGCATTGCACAGCTCAGGTGATAAATCACTTCTCTATCCTTCCAACTTAATTTTAATTTTCTATTAACTACAGAGAATCTATTAGTTCATTAACTTAAAGGACCTTCACTAATAGCATATACAAATAGCTAAAAAGTGTTCTTATGTATGTTATTTTTCTGTTCCACTTAAAAGTTCTTTGAGCATAAACAGCACCAAAGAAAGTTCTAGAGGCACAGGACAGTCGTTATAGCAAGCATGCTCTGCTATAATGAGAACCAATATCCACTTATTTCGTATTCGAGTAGAGACACACACATATCTGATGTGCTGATCTTGGAGACTGCACTCACTGGGTTCAGTGAGCAGCGACTCACAGCCACTGGAAATCATCTTTTCTAACTATCGTTTCTGAATCAAAGCTTTGTTATTGTCTCCTCTGTCAGAGCATCTCCAGGATATCACTGAATATTGGAATTAGGTTAGGGTTTGACAGAAAGGTGATAGAAAGGGTTAGTGTGTTAGAAAGGTTGCTTTTAATTATTAAGGGTACTGATCCGCTGTTCCAAGTGCTGCTGCTACCCTGTGTTCTCCTTGCTAGTGCTGAGGCTTTACCTGTTCACATAAAAGCACCTATTCCTTTGGCTATTTCTCTTAAAGCTTTAGAGCTGCTTTGAATCGACGCTGCCGCAGCTGTGGTTCTCAAAGGCAGCTGCTGCATCTGCATCCAGGAAAAGAGACCCTGTTAAAAGCTGATCTGGTTCTCCTCCTCCACCACTTTACCTGGAGGACTGTTTTTCCTTTGGAGTTCCAGACAACAGTGCAACCATAATCAAATGTCTCTTCTCAAATAACCAAAGTCATTGCAACACGCTGTGGAAAAGCTGTACCTCAAGGTTTCCAAAGAAATACCATTTGTTTTAATGATTTATGGGGGAAAATAGTGCCTTGAAATATTCCATAGTTCTTCAGACAACCAAACTGTCCTTGGTTACATCAGCTTTGCTACTGCTTCCAAGACTTACTTTACACTTTTTACCATCAACCCATAAATAAACTCATGAAAAAACCTCCCTAACATCTTTTTTCGTTACATCAAGCTTAAATTCTTTTTACCGAACACCTGCTTTAAGCAACCAGCTTTAAAAAGGGGAGCACACCAACTTGTAAAATGCTTATAAATACTTTCCATTACAGAAATAAATGATTGCAAGTGTGTGTTGAAGAGAGAATTCAAATATTTAGAATTACGAATCTTTTTATGTCTGACAAAAGCATATCTTATCTGACAGAATCTTTAATAGAAGTTCAACTCATCAATCTGGGAAGCCTTATTGTCTGTCCCCTCCCTATGAGGCACAAAAAAATGTACTGTGGGGCGGTAAATCAGAGTATCAATTATGGGAGAGGAAGGACTCACAAGGGTTGAAAACAGTGACAGGGAAAACTATCTGTGAATTTTAGTAGCAGGAACTTAGAACTAAGATACACAGTCATTAGATATCAGAACACATCAGAATAGTATGCTCACAAGAGATTAAAGGGATGAAAAGAGATTTTCTCCAATAATGAAAAAACCCCCAAACATTAAAGCCAGGATGCAACTTCCAATAGGATATTGCTTTATTATTTACCTTATCAATTTACAAATACAAATATTTACCTCTCGAAGAGGGATAATAAGACTGCACAAGTTCTCTTCTTTACTAGTAAAGCAAATGTAGTTTGTAGAAACAAACATCTGACCCAAAATATGCATTTTGTTGAATGGAGTCCAGAGAGTACAGTCTGTGTGTCCATCTAATTTCTCATCCTTGGGAAGTCGGAACAATGCACGGTATCTCTCACTCTTTGCTCTAGCGTCAAGATCCCTAAAAAAAAAAATCAACCAACCAACCCACAGAAAGCTGTGTTCAGAATTACGTAATATATTTCAAGATATATTTCATACAAATAATTGCAAGACACCTGCAACATACAACTCAGTTAAGGATTAATTGTACAGCAAAACAGTGGAAATAGTTTGCATATAGGGCAATAGTTTGCAGTATAGTCTCTCCTGCTGTAAGATTCTAAAACTGCATTAAAAAAATTCTGCCACAAATTACTTAGGTACATTGATCCTAACATCTCAGAGGGGAGAGATTAGGTCATCTTTTCATATTCAGCCCTACTTTCTGAGAATATATACACTTAGTCCATTTATTATGAAATAGCACAGAACCCCATGTAATATTACACAAAAAATGCTTCTTTGAGGTTTATTTATTTACATGATGGAATCTTTAGGGCAAGAGTTTGTTAATAATTTCAAGACTTAGTCTGATAATGCATCCAGTGCAAAACACCAATAAGTAGAAAGACAAACCTAAGTGATATAATGCACATCAGATGTCACTAAGTAATGAGAAATATTAACAAGCACTTGTTACAATTCTGTATGGTTCACTAACATGAACAACAGATAAAATGATGAAAAAATTAACAAGAAACTATCAAATTGCAGTATAATATCTATAAAAGCAGCAGAAATATTTTCCAGACTATTTTTCATCCCTTATAATTTTAGGCCATACTTTGTACCTCTGCTACCTAAGTTCTAGATAGAACTTAGATAGAATCATCTAGAGTCACTTTTAAATTCCAGTTACGGGACCAAGTTTGAATGTTAGGCACATTTCTTAGCAACACTTAAATTGCTTTACTACCTTCCCCTGGTAACATAAAAGGGCCTTACAACAGATAACTCAGGCAGCCAGTGTCAACAGACATGTTAAAGAGCTTCTGAGCAAGTAAGAATTCTGCTGGAATAGATAATTTCTTGTGGAGTAAGAGTAAATGGCAGCAACAATAGAAAGCTTTTGGACAAAATACAGCAAGGAAAAGGACTGAGGAGAAACAAATGACTAAGAGCCAGTGGAACCTACCGCTTCAGTGCTGATACTTTTTTGGGGGATTTCTTTTTCAGTTTGGGTAATGACCTGTCTTGTTCAAATCCTTCATTATCCAAGAGCTGTCGCATAGCTATATTGGCAAGCTGTTCCATCAGTTTAAATGTCTCGCTGATATTAAGGAATACTGAGAAGAAATGTTCACTTGACCTTGTGCTCACTTTGATCATATCAGGGAAGAGCAGTGTAGCATTCTTCTCAAGTTGAGTGATATCAACCCAGCGGATAACTAACTTTGCTGAACAGAAGCAAAAACAAACAAACAAAAAAAGATTCAGTACAAAAAGTAGTATATTCAAACCCATTTATTTTCCTCTTCCTAGAAAACTTATTTAGCTGAAATGCTCTCGCATCTTGAAAAGTTGGGGGACAGCATAAATAGACCAAACTTGTAGAAACAAACTATGATCACCTGACAAACAGCAGATTAAAGAGTTTATATATCATTTACTTCTGTACAGAACACCATATACAAAGACTACAGTTAGGTAGTCTAAAAGAACACCATATACAAAGACTAAAGTTAGGTGGGCTAACATAAGTTATCATTGCCACAGCACCTGCTCAGGCTCTCATGCTCTCTCAGGCCTGCATTATTTATATACATTAAAAAGTCTAAAATATTACAGTAATGGCAGATCCTTATATTTTCTTTCAGCACTGCTACAAGTTTAGAATACTGTCCTGAAAATGAGGAATAAATCTCCATTTATTTTTGTTAAAATATAATTAAAATCCAGTCATTCACTAGGTTATGAACCCATAACCACGTGCTGCAGACTTGCTCACTTCATACTCAAAGGGAGAATTAACTCACTTCAGGGCAGACTGGCTGCATCCACACTATGTAGCTCATGATTCTGGGTCTCCTCTGAGCCCTTTGTGATGCTCTGGTGTTACACAAAAGTAAACGTGGCATCTGAGGTTGCAAAGTCTGCCATAGTAGTAGCGGAGGGACTGTAGAGTAGAACAAGCCAAAACTGGTGTGATCTCATACCTATTCCCTTTTGGGCACAGTCCCTGAAGTAAATCATGCCTCTAAATGATGCCCAAGTACTGTTTTACAGACAACTAGTTTGAGAAATATAAAACAAACGTAGGACCAAGTGCTCAGTTAAGCAGCATGACAATCAGGAGATTGCTCCCTGTTCCTCTTTTCTTCAGCAGCATCTGCACTCCCAGCAGTTCAGCAGGTGAAGAGTAACAAACTACAGAAGATTTCCTAACAATTGAGACATACAGACCACCATTCCACTGTAAAACATACCTTCCCGGCCCATGAGAAAAGAGTAAAAGCAAAGGTGATTAATGCTGAGATACACCCAGCCCTGACGGGGAACCTTCCCCTTCCAGTAACTGCAGGAGTAGTAGTTCACTAATTTCTCTTCTTCTGGCATCCCAAATAGCTTGTGAAACTTCACTATGGCTTCCTTAAATTTTTCTGTATCATCATCCTCTTTGATGCCATTGATTTTGTTGTACTCAGCAATGATGCCCTAGTAGGGAGTGAAAGAAGTACATAGCATGTTATTTGCCATCAGGTATCAGATATCCTTACTACCACTGCTGTCTGGGCCAGTGATCACAACAGTTATCGCAATGTCAAAAATGTCTTTGCTTATCCCTTATTCTTTTGCTTATATAGTTATTAACTTCATTCAAGGCTGTCTTTCTGATGACCTTGCTCCCTAGCATTCCTATGTCAAAAGTAATCAAACACCAACCACTTGCCAGGTGCCCTGTTTTACTTTAACCAGCCTACCTCAAATACTCTTAACTCTGCAAAGCACCTAGGATTTGTAAAAGTTTCCCCTTCCATGTAAATACATGGGAGACAGGGGTAGGATTTCACCAGAAAATTTTCTTCTAAAAAGAAGGAAAAAAAGTCAAAGGAAAGAAGGATCTGTTATTATCAAACAACTTTTATTACTCCTCTTAGTGGATCTTGAGCAAAAGAGAAGAGCAAGGGGAAATATCTTCTATTAGACTGACTGGCAGGATGGAAAAATCATTCATACTTTCAAGTGTAGAAGACCTTCATTAAATTTGAAGTGGCAGCAGTCTGGTGAAAAGCTGTGTTTTGGTACCTCAAAGAGTACAATTCCTTCTGTTCTATACTGAAGGAAGGTCTACTCGCTTATGTTCCCATCTCTTATAGACCTTCTCTCTATTGCCTTCTATTGTAAAGTTATAAAAAGGAAAGTTACTTCTTGCCTTCAAATTTGTCCATTTACATGGAAAGCAGAGTATAAGACAGCAAACCATCATTCATACGTAATATTTGTCCAAATCTAAAAAGTAACAATTTCCTTAAAAGATTATATTTCGCAAGACAAATGTCTTCTCGCATGAGGTGTTTCCAGGATCACCTACAGCCCTCAGACCTGATCCACTAGTAAAATACAAACAACTTGGGGATTCTTAAGACAGCTGACTTACTACATGATGTGTTAAAAATTAAAATGAGACAAAGTCAATGCTTAGAATACATACTAAGTAAGTACAGTAATTTTACTTACAATCAACCTTTTATCACAATATTTACTTTTAGATAGTTCTTAGTGTGGATAAAGTACTTTTTATCAGCAGAGCTACTATCTCCCCTATAAGGAGAAAAAGAAATTCTGCTAAAGCCAACCAGAAAACCCTAAACAAAACTAAAACCAATCAAGCAGCAACTGCCAACACCTATATGAAGTGCAAATGCCAACACTACAGGATTTAACTACACAGAAGAGGGTAAGAAGACATTACACAACAATGTGAAAAAAAATTAAAGCTCTGCACTGAAAAAGCAGTTACATAGAAAACTGTCAAAGTTTAAGACAGAAGCAACAGTGCAAATTATTTTAGCACATATGTTTGAAGTCCTGTCTCTCTCATTATATAATTTTAATTTTTTTTATTCACACTACTGTAGTTATGTGCACTACTCTCAGTTTCCCTAATTTTTTTACGCACATGTTGCTACTTTGAATCTGGTTTTCCTTCAAAAACGTGGAGCAGCCTGGGGACTACTAGGTCAAATTTGTTTAGAATTCACATCAGTCTTCCTTCCACAGTCACATTTATCATTAGCAACATTTATAATAATATACTTAACTACCTGTATTTTTCCTCTGACAAATGTATTTATGTCATTCTCATTTTCAAAGATTGAAAGAGTTTGCAGCAAATTCTGTTCAAGCCATTCCCAGTGTTCAGTGATTTCCTTCCTTGAGCAACCTGTACATATATATATAAAAAAAACACAACAAACCCAAAAAAGTCACAAAATAAATAATTCACCAACAGCAATGTCCTCTTAATCATAAACAAAAGACTCTAATAAAACTCATCAGTAACTGGAGATGCAACATTTCACTAGATACTATGTCCCTGGAAATTCCAAAATTTTCTCTCATAATCTTTAATTTCGTAATAAATAGGTAACAATCTTCAAGTAGCACAAGCTACTTATCACAGTATCATGAAACAATGATAAAATTACAAGAGTAAAAGCTGCAGAGGATCTTTTTTTTTTCCCTGACAAGTCAATTAAAATGTCTCTTCCTCATAAGAACAGGGCTGAAAGACCACTAAGAATGCTGTATCTTTTTAGAGGGGGAGGGTTGTCAGAGGTGGTTTACTTTCAACAATGTAAGAATAAACTAAAACTTTGGTGACTCCAGTTTGCTAAGGAGACCAAAAAGGGTCAAGTGATCTCACTTAATACTGAGGAATCAGCACACATGTAGCCTGTAAAGTAGTACAGAACAAGGATGAAAAAGCTTCTTGTATCAACTAGAGTTTATATATGCAATTTTTTGCTTCTGATTTACTTAAGATGGATTGTAGTAAATGTAACTTTCATTTTGAGCCCTTGTTCTCAACATCCTGCAGAATAAAGTTGTTGGCACTCTTCAGGATCTCTGTGCACACCCTGAAGGAAGAATAAATTCAGGCACTCACAAAAAAAATGTTCCCCCCAAAAAATTATGTTGAGGGAATTATGTCAAAATTGGGACTTTTAAGTAAGTATTTTCAGGAAAAAAATATTATGTGCTCACACACGAACATCTGCACCTGAAGCTTGATTAAATACATCAGTCCAGGTAGGAAACAGCATCAATACTAAGTCAATTTTTGGTGTAAATCACAGATTTGGTTCATTTTACTCAAAGCTAGCAAGTAAATATACCTACCTGCTAACTAATGCTTACAGAACCCAATAAAGAAAAGCTGCTCATGTGAACCAGCTGTTAGAAAGAGGTTAAATTTCAACAAGCTGTTGCTAGTAACTTCTTTAGCTTCAATATAGGCACAAATTGACACATTTATGCATGTGTTTCCATGGTTCATAGACGATTCATAGAAGAACCCAATGCAACCACCCTGAACACATACCAAACAAATGTTTTCCTTATTGCTCAGCAACAAACAATGGGGAAAAATAGTCTTTCGACAGAATACAATCAGAGCTTTACACAACTCCAATGAAAGCAACAGAACACAACATTCTGTGCAACTTCCAGGAGAATGTCACAATTCTAGCTGTGTGGATATGTAAATCATGTTGCAGAATAGCCTGTATATGTAACCAATATTTCAGAACCACAAGTGATCAGCACTGAAGCTTCTCCTTAAAACTACTGGATGTAACCAGACCTTTCTGGAACTCAGGAGTGTTCTGAAGACTAATTTATTTCTTCTTGGCTTTTACACTGTTCTAAAAAGCATAGATGAAATACATGAGCTATGTTTATAAAACTAGGCTGTCATCAGAACAATCATCTTTAGAAGAGCAGTGACAAGCAGTGCAGACACACTATAACGATGAACTACTTATTAAAGCTGTCTTATTTTTTGTTTGTAGTTCATTAATTACTTTTCATCACTTCTCAAGAAACAGCTTTGGTTGATTATCCTCAATCTGTAACATCCCATCTCATTGTTTCCATTGCTTTTTGTCTCCACTGTCTTACTGTTTACTCACCCAGACAGTCTCCTCTACAGCGGATCACACAATCGGGCCAAAACCTGTCCCCAAGTTATCAGCAGTTTATCATTGTGGTCTAGATGTCTGTATTGTTCATATTACTTTTAAATTAAGCAATACCTCTAACACTCAGGGAAGGGAAAAAAAACCCCATTTAACAGTCAAACCACTGCACTTTGGAATACAGTGCTCTCAAGACTGGTAGGAAATAAAAAGGAAAATAGCCACAACGCATACAGTAGGCTTCTAATCACTCTTTCTCTTCTCTAAATGGTGTGCTTAGCTTATGGTGTGCTCCATGGCTGAAACCGTGTAATGTTGGTCAGCATCCCTGGTAGACTGTGCTGTTCTTCTCAATCTTCAGGCAGAAAACTGATCAGTGTGTTACACAGAAGTTTGGGAGCTAAGGGAGGTCCAGACCTGAGGAGCTGGAAGAAGGATTCACAGTGCTGGAGAGAGGATGAGAATCTACCAGGGCAATCACCTGGCAGGTGGAATGGAGTAACAGCACGAGCAACATGAGAACATTTCTAGGTGTCAGGGTTAGGTTTCTAGCACCTGGTCTGGTTTGTCTAAGGTAAGAGGTGAAAGTACAGAGGGAATACAACAGAGTTCAGGACTGAGAAGAAAATTAACAAGTCCTATAAACATGCTTTCAAGCACACTCAGAAGTATAATCTCAGTATTGTTTCTGTTGGTGACTGAGGAATAGGAAGGGCTTAGCTTGAGTCAGCTGATGAGGCTGTCATGTCCCATCTTCTCTCCCAAGTACTTACTTGAGATGCTTCTTAGTCAGCCTGAACTGCTGCTGCTAACAGAATGCACTGCCTAAATTTGTTCTTGCCGGTAACAGCTGGTTCAGGAGTGGACTGGCAAAAACCTCAATTTGTGCAGAGAGGAAGGTGAAGATAGTTATAGCAAACTCAACAGCACTCTAACCGAAACTTGTAGCTTTGTCAACCAAAGCATATGGCCTTTTCTGAAAACCTTTTCCTAGGCATGCAATAAAATTTCAGTATTAGTACTTAAAAATAATCCATAATCCATTTTTTTCAAATGCAAAATACACATTTAGAAACTTCTATGGAATGCATATAACTACTTTTACAACAAGAAAAAAAACCACTACAGCGATGGTTCTGTACCTAAAAACCACACAAAGCCACAGTAAGAATGTTTGATTTTATAGGTGGAGAAGGATATAAAAAACAATTGTTCATTTCCCAACAGATCTTGGACATATCATCATTTCCCCCCCTTAAATTAAGCACTAGCAGATTTAGGGGAGAGGGAGAAATGACACTGACATGGGGCACAGCTTCAAGGTTGTATAGATAAATAATTGGCTCTCTGTAAAATTTTACCTCATTGGAAGAGCCACACTGTTCTCCTCAGGGGACAAGACTAAGCTAGCACTAAGTCTTATAATTTAACAAAAATAATTAGGCAAACTGACCAGCTAGATATTAAGAGACTAAAAATTCAAGAAATACTCCACAAAATGGAAACACAGATACAGACATTAACTGCTTTGTTATCAATTTCAATTAGTGCCAGCATTCATAACTGAAGAGTGTGTTTATTAAAACTTGCTTAAATGTAAACAGGGAACCATATTTTTACATTTAAACAGCAGTATCAAATAAGAGAAACATAACCCTCACAGTTCAGCAGCAGCATAATTTTCTACACATAGGGTACATTTGCTTATTCTGGTGCCGTAACTCATCTGCCTTCAATTTTGTGCCTCTGGTTATATGAGGACACACAGTGTAGGTATAAAATTATAGTAATTATCTATAGGTGTCATGCAAAAAAACTGCAAATGCACTTAAAGAAAAGTCACATGGCCTATTTCCAAAGTCTTAAGCATTTATTTCTGAGTAAGTGCATAGTATGAGTGTCTTTGAAGAAACACTATTTTGTGGAGAGCTCGATAAGTTATTTTCTTTGGAAGGGAGTCTGTCTTCTTGCAGCTGTGATACCAATGAAAGTAGCAAGAAATACCTGTGCTAAGGCGAGCTATTAAAAAACTTCCTCTTCGATTCAGAACATGACACAGCTCTGATATTGCCTTTGTCAGACACACAAATCATATGCTCATAAGAACAGAGCCTGCTTTGAACTGCTAAAATTATTAGATCTATGGCAAACCTTCATCTATTCCTTCTCTTTTTCCCTTCCTGAAGGAAGATTTGTCTGGAGGAAAAGTCATCCAAATAATCTCAACATCAAATTTTACTGGGGGAATGGGCACAGATGAGAAGGCACCATTATGCCAGAAGAAGCCTACAGCTTCACTAACCAGTATTTTTGGATGTTGGGCAGCACTGGGGGTGCTGGAATTTACCAGTCTATTAAAGAGATGACAGACGTGTGTGCGTTTCTCATTTGTCCTCTTTCTCAATTTTCTTTCAAATGAACAGAGTTCTGGCTGCTGCCTTCAAAAGTTTCCATTTTCTAAGACTGAAAAGAGATACTATCAATCTGAGGATCTGACCTTACAAGCTTGGCTAATCAAAGCTAAATAACCCTGACCTTCCCATTCAGCTTCAGACACTATTTTCAGAGCTGGCAAACAGAACCAGAGTCTAACATTGCTTTCTGCTACTTGCAATAGGTACCTGACCACAGTAGTACACATTAAGTATTTACAGGATCTGTTGCACGCAAAATATCAACTTCATTGATTTCACCAACTACAACAGGGACAGAAAAAACAGTCTTACAGTTAGATCTGTCAAAGTTGAACCCTTAAAGACCAAAACCCTTAAGAGCTGCTGCATGTATGTAAAAACACACACCACTGTATTTACCTCTATAATTGAGCTACCCTCTGGCTAAATTTTTAAGCACAGTATTTAGAAGGACGACACACTGTCTGAAATAAAAGTTCAGGAGGTAGGTAGTATTTATCTAGGTAGTATTTATCCTAGAGGAGACTGAGCTCCCTATCCAGGAAATGCCATACCAATATTCAGTACTTAAGTGAGAGCTAGATTCCATTTCATGGAAGCCAGGTATCCAGTCTGGGTAATGTGGGGACTATAACCCAGGTACTCCTCCTACCATTCTCTATATCAATACTTCATCACCCAGGAATGCTGCACTTTAGAAGTGCTGTAGGAGTGAGCCATGGGAGTGGAGAAGAGCATGCAAGGAGGAGGGATGGATACGAGACTGCTTGTCTGGGAACATTTTTGGGAGATGAAGGGTGGGAATAACAGAGGCTTCTGCCCCTGCTCCATGGCTATTTCTGGTTTTACTCAGTCCCTGTGCACAGCACATACGCACAGTCTGGCATTTGAGGTCTGAATATTAGCAGCCTTGGAGCTTCTTAATTTAACCACTAGAGTGAGTTCTCACCCTGACCCATTTATTTGTCCTGAAATGACTGTGTTCAGCAGGCAGGATGCTCTAATAGTTATATGGCACAGTACCCAGGAAGAATAAAAATCCACATGTGAGTATGTTTGTCCTTACCACAGGCAATGGTCCAATAGACCAAGGAGTCTGGTGCTTGGTAGAGGATTCGATACGGTGCTACTCTGGCACTGGAGTCCAACACCACATCAAGAGTGCCCACAAGGAGACCTATGGAACAGGAAATTCCGATGAGTACAGAGTGATGGATCAGCCGAGACCCCACAGGATCTGCATCAGCACTCCACTCTTCCATTTCACCCTCCACAGCAAAACACAGACCTACAGATCCATCTCCACACTTGCCACCTCATGCTGTCAAGAGGGAAAGTGACCAGAAGAGGGAAAAATCTTCAGTTTCACATGAAGATTTCAACTTTTTAAATATACATTGATTCTAGCAAAAAGGCAGACTAAATGAAGCAAAGCAGAAGGTAGCTGTTTTATAAAACCATGTTTAAAAGTTATTTAGTTCTTTTCTGTGTTTCATATACTTTTGGAGCCCTGGGGAAAAACAAACACACACAAAACCCACCACAATACCCACAAAAAAAAACCCCCAGAACAGCTCAAAAGTCAAACGTCAGCTAGGAAAAACTAAGACTTTGAGCAAAAATAATTATGCTACTTAATGGTCTGATTCTTCAGGGTAGAAAGGATCAAAATGCCTAACAGTCAAGCTGGTTTTCAGCTGAAAGGATACTGATGAAAGACAAAGCCACACTGTTTTCTCAAAGTAGATCTGAAAATTCTTTGCTACCAAGGGGGCCATCAACAGCTGCATGCCAAATGCTGCCAAAAATTCCTAAATATATTTCCACAAATTCTAGATTGTATTTTAATAAGAAATTACACACAAAACTCCGAACCCTCCAAACTCTTTCTCACAAGATGCCCTAATTATTTTTAAAATACATAAGTTTCCCCCCTTTTCACCTCCAGAAAGAATTTTCACCTGCCCTGCAGAGATGTTGGATTTAAATTCTAATCTAGAAGTACACAGCAAATTCACATATTGAAAACTGATGGATGAACTTTCAAGGATTCCCCCCCCCCAAATATTTATTGGGGCAGAAATTAGGGTTTTTTAAACATGAAATAAACTGCATGCACCAAAAAAACTACTCTAAAATACTCCTGTTAAAACCTTCTTCTTGTTTCAAGTGGCTGTTTCCATCTTTTAATGTCATAGTTTTATTGGTTCCCCATTCTGCACTGTCATAACTGGCACAAAAGACTGCTTCCCTCACTGTACTTTCAGATTTGCTTTGTGCATGATAAAGATACAAAAGCACGACACACTTTCCATCTTAGTAGGTCCCTTAAATCCAAACTGAAACTGGTATTTGGAAATATGCCACCTATCAGTGGTTTTGTATTCCTCTATTCTATGGGTTTTACTTGTATTTTTATACAGGTCTTCACAGGCCAGATCAAGTGTCATGTCTTCTTTCCTGATGCATTAATATCCATCACTTTTTAATCCAATAAATCTGAAATACATCAGAAACAAGTCTGGACACGACACTAGGTCATTCATTAGCAAGCAGTGCTATATCCTGTAAGGACATGAACACAAAATATTAACATAAAATATCCCAATGTTCATTACTCTAACTAGCTTTAGTTGTTCCTATTGTCATCATAAACCCTCATTTCTCATGCATTTGGATTACTCGTGTACACTGACAAGCTGTCTCTGATCAATCCTCCACCAGCCCTACTAGACACACCTTGACTCCTTTCAAACTCAGCAGACTGAAGTAGCTTATAGTGTTCTTTTAAATATCTTTTCTGTTATGCACACTCTCCATTCTGGCTTCACAAAACCAGTGTGGCCTTGGTCCAGAAAGCACATGTACGCACTTAACTTCAACCATGGGCAAAGATCCTCAAATGCTTAAAGCTACCACAGAGCTCGAGCGTATTGCTCAATGGAGTGCAGACCAGGCCAGACACTACACTGCGTTCATCACCTGGGTTTGCTGCAAACACGTAGCAAGGCTCATGCCAAAGACTCTTCGTGCTTTGAAGCTTCATGTCTGCTGACAGTACTAAATATGCAACTGGCATGACATAATATCTAAATAAAGTTGTATGCTGGCGAAATGTAATCTTCGGTGAGGTACAGATACACTGTTAAGTCCCTGTAATCTTTAAAAATATGCTTGTTTCTTTCCCCTGCTGTGTTTCCAAATCTGTTGGTGTGTGGGTGGTCCTACCAACCAATGCTGCCACCAGCTCTAGGAGGGCGCTGCAGCTGTGAAAACGGGGATACACAGCCAAGGTCAGAGCCAGAACAAACCTACTGAGCTGTGCAGCAACATCAAGTTAAGAGGACCTTCCCACCCTGCCTCCTTCTCCCTGAGACACTGGAGACAGGAGGAGAGGAACAACCCCCCAGACAATGTAAGACAGAGCAGCGTATTCAAGAAATGAGGAGAGCTCTATAAAGACTAGCCAGCACTGAAACGAGAGATGGGAGGATGGGAGGTAGGTAAGGAAAAGAAAAGAAAAATACTTTCCACTTGTACAGTAAGCAGAAGCTGCTCAGTGCCTTTTCAGCAATGGAAACAGGTTGTAGAAATAGCCCTGCAGTGAGGTTAAAGGAAGAAAATTCTCAGAAGACCCCACTGAAATTCGAAGTCTAGCTTACAAAGTTAGTTGTAACTGACAGTTTATCAGTAAAATTTTACTTATATCATGAAATAGCTGTTTTGATAATGACACATGTCAAGAAAATAGTTTATGTGTTCCTATATACATTAAAGCCGATTAATATTTACTGTTCCAATCATGCAAACTACCCCTGATTGCTGTCACAGAATATCAGGAGTTAGAAGGGATCTCGAAAGATCATCC